GACATCATAGTCTGTGGCGACACACCCAACGGTTCCATAAGGTTTACTGGCAGGTCAAGTAAACACGGTCTGTCTCTGGAACGATGGCAAGCCGTGAATCAGCACTGCATAAATAAGGGAATTGAATTGAAGAAGAGGAGTTTGCTGAACTCACAGCCCTGGGGTGTCCCCTTGTTCAGGACCAAACCAGCTCATGTCTGGTTCCTTAAGCCTCTTTCCCACTGAAACTAGCGGGCTAACGCGGGTTTTACAAACGCGGGTCGACCTGCTAACAATCAACATTTGGCTCCTTCCTCAAAATGGCCTGACCCCTCACTGGCAGCTGCAGGGCCTCTGTCCCCCTCTGCTTCCTGTCTGCTGACATCATCTAGCTGAGTTAGTGCTGATGATGTCTTCAGTGCAGCAGATATCAGGGAAGTAAACAATGTAGAGCAACATGGATGGAAGCCAGGCGTAGTCCTGTGAGTTACACCAACAGATAAAAGAGTGATGCGAGCTCAAATCCTGGTCAGACAGATAAATCTGCACAGATATGGAATAAATTCACAACAACTTCCATTAAAATAGCAAAAATCAGCTCCAAATCACACAGATTTCAATTAAAATATTGACTAAAACTAGTGAAACTATGTTATAAGTATATTAGAAAATGCATAAAGGTTAACGTTATATCAGTGTTTGAACCCTCAATGAAATAAAGCTTGTTCTATAACAATAACTGAGACATGTTACCATAGCAGAGCGTACCATGTGATGTTAGCTTTGACTTTACTCAAAGGAAATGATGGAGAGTCATCAAAGAAACAAATGGTTTTCCTTTCTTCCAGCCACTAATCAGGGGGGGTCTTCCTTTGGCGGCACCCTCCTCCTGTCAGCATCTACAGGTTCTCAAACTCAGAGAGAAAGGTTGAACTAATCTTTTTAGCTGCAGTTTTTGTCCTGAAATGTCAACGTTAGCTTAAGCCGCACATCGACTGTATGATTTTTGTGCCTTTTTTGGGCCAATTCTCCAGTCATGGGAGAATTTTTCAATCGGGCTGACTTTAATCCTCATGGTGCGTCCTGCGTCATGTAGTGCACAGGGGGTAACGAGGGGCGATCTGCCTGTCATGACCTCCTCCCCATCAGGAACCGTAAGGTCGGGAGAATATCAAACATGTTTGAAATTCAGTCGCCCTCCTGAGGTGTTGGTGGGTAGATCCTGCTGTTGAAGCAGAGCTACGTGCCGATTTATCAGAAACTCCAGCACTGAACATGTGCAAACAAGGGAGTTCCTCTTCTTCCAGATCCGGTGAACTGTATAGTGACCTGAGATGACATGTGATGTGAATTGGTGCTATAGAAATAAACTAAATTGAATTTATATATTATTGAAGTTTTTTTCTGTTAAACTTAAATACATTATTATACAAATTAAATATTTGAAAAGAACCCTAATTCCAATGCAAACTGTTATTTAATCTCTTGATGAAAGCATTTGTGGTTTATCAGAGTAGAGGCATCATTAGCATTAGATGGACAGACAGTCTGTGAGACGTGACAGGACCCTGTGTTCCCTGAGACGCCTCCTACACAGGTCCCGTCTCTGAAACAAAGAGACTAACCATGAACACATCATGTGTTTGGACCCGCTGACTCCAACATCCGCTGTGACATCTGCACGCCTCACATCTCTGGAAACTGCACCAATTAACGGCCCTATAATTAAATAGTGTTCTATGCAGGGACAACCATTGATAAATCTGCAGCCACCCAATAAGTTAAGCTTGATAGGATTTCTAATGAACAAGGCACCGTGTCCTGCACACACCACCAAGCTCCGGCTAATGAAAATTATTGGTCAAATACATCAACCCAGACTGAAGCTCAGAGGAAAACAAGTAAATCTGAGCCACAGTTGGAGACAGTTGACCCTTAATGGAAGTTTCTTAACGTGCATCTTGGTTCTAACATTTATTTCATTTTAAATCACAGAAGAAAAAGGGTCACATAAAACCCAACATGATGCAAATCAGCAAAGGTTCATTAATAGAGGGAGTCAGCAGCTATTAAACACCTTTAACAGCAGCCTGGACAGGCTTCAGCTTCCAGCCTGATTCTGTTCAATGCAGCCTAAAAAACATGTTGGTAAAATCTACCCTTCATGGGGAGTGCTTCGGTGGTGCAGTGGTTAGCGCACATGACCCATGTACGGAGGCCGACGTGGCTGACCCGGGTTTGAATCCAGCCTGTGTTCCTTTGCTGCATGTCTCTCCCTTCTCAAAACAGAAATCTACCCTTCAAGCAACATCACTGCCTTTTATTCCTCATCTGGCTTCATATTTATCTTCATCCACAACTAAAAAGGTCTTGACGATTTAGACCAGCGAATGCCGACGTATGCCGAGGAGCTTAAAAAAAGACCAGGAGTTTTGTAGAGGCTGACGGGGGTTTACGTATTTAAGAGTTTAACGACTATCTGAGAAAAGAAGAGAAACTTCAGAAAGCTTCTCTTTTAAAATAATCCAGCATGAAAAAGTGACCTGTGCTCGATGTTGGTGTCAAAACCAGTTTTAGGGTTTTATTGATATTATAATAACCAAACAGGCAGATTTCTTTTTTCTAACAGGAGGGAAAACGATTGTTTTCAGGCGAAATTTATTCTTTATTACCTTTGAATAGTTGGAAGCAGAAGCTTTTCGACAGACAGGACAGATTGTTTTCCTATAGATGAAGTGAGATGGAACTAAAATGTCTGCAGCATTGATCCAGGTGTTGATGCAGGATGTGATTTATGCTGTAATGAGTAGATTTGGCCTTTTTTTTTTTACAGTATTCAGTAAACTGCTGCTCAGGGCAGGTTGTCTCCATCTGTTGGTAAAAACCATTTTAATTAATTGTTGAACACTCACTTAAAACAAGCAGAGAATATTTATCAAAATTATTATAGTTTTATATCTGAAGCATCGTGGATATTTTAATGGCAAAGAATGAAATGTCTGGTGATGTATTTAATAACATATGATTAAGCTTTATGGGCTTTTTAACTATTTTTTTTTTCAAAAATGTCAGAGAAAAGAAACCTTTTCACAGCAGGAGGTTAAAGAAGCAGACATTTGTTTTCCAGAATAACTTTAGGTAAAGCTGTATTATAACAGATGTTGATGGACCAAAACTTTGTTCGATCACATTTAAGCTATTTGTTTTATTGTTTTTTCTTTTCCGTTAAATTATGTTTATCAGCTACAGAAAAAACAAAGTTCTTTGTTTTAGAAAAATAAAAAAATATGACATTAGACTGATCATAAAAGGAGGCAGGCTTTAAGGTTGCTGGAATTAAACCTCTCCTTAAGAAACCGTGTCTTGGCCCAGATGACCTCTGCAGTTCCTCTTTGCCGTTTTCTTGTTGCTTTGTTGCTTCATTGGTTGCTCCCCATGTGTTGTTTCTCTGTTGTGGTTTTATATTCTATTCTATTCCCAGCGAGCATAGAATGTATACTTCTGATACCCTAAGATGTTTATTGCCCTGTCCAGTAGGGGTGGTAAAATATCTTATTTAATCAAAGAGTGATTCAAGCTCTAATCATGGTCAAACAGTTAATTCTGCACATACGTGGAATAAATTCACCACAACTTCTGTTCAAAATATAAGAGTTTTTTTTAACAAAAATCATTCTTCTCCAAGTCAAACATACTTCAGTTTAACACTCTCAAGTAAGACTAGTAAAACTCAACTAAATTAACTAAACTACTATGTACAAAGAGGAAGGGAAACATGGTTGAAAATCATATTACAGTTTCAGATGGATTCTGTGTTTGAAACCAAAGTTTATCTGGAAGAATTTGGGATGTGATCAAATTAGCTTTTGACTAATTTAGAGAAATTGGAATGTTTTCAGACCAACTCACAATGCAAATCCATGAGGTGAATAAAACATTATTTGGCCAAATAATGTTTTATTGAATGATTTGCTTAATCAGGAACCAATAACATTTAGCTAAATGATTCTTTACCCTCTTTGAAATAGCTAGCAGTGAATAGACATCAGGATTCCACTAAATGACTCTTGGTCATACTTGCTAATGGAAATGTAACGAGCATCTGAGGAACACATGAACACTAATGTTATATCAGTGTTTAATCCTTAGTGAATAAAGCTTGTCTAAGCTTTAGCAACAGCTCAACACATATTCCTGTAGCATAGCGTAGCATGCAGTCCATTCTGTTAGCTTGACTCATCAGTAAACACATTAAACGATCAAAATCATCAATTTTTTTTTTTTTTTTTTTTTTTACAGTGTCCTGTCTGGCAATGTGGCAATAAGAATAATTGTCTTGATGCCAAAAAGAGCCCAACAGATTTTACTCCCACAAGTGTAGCGGTATGGCAATTGCCATACTGCTCCACTTGTTTCATGCATATAAATAACTTTATTATAATTATGCAGGGAGTTTTACAGATTATATGGACACTGCAATGTAAACAGAGCAGAGAAACAGAAGAAGAAAAGGAAAAAAGAAAGAAAAGATGAAAGAAAGAAGAGAAAGGAGACAATGACAAAACATTTTCAGTCTGCTTCATCACCAGTAACAAGATGAAAAAAGAACAGCACAACCGAAAGACATGGTACGAGATATACAATGAAGCAACACCTTGAAACTATTGCTAAAGTAGTATTATTAAGTCTGACATGTACTCTGTGTTACCTGAAGATATGAATGTGGGGTTTCTGTTTGGAAGTGAATCTCCAAGTACCTGAAGCCTAGCACCTGTAGTTGTTTGTGAGGGTGAACTTGTGCATGTAAAATTTTAACCATAGAAAAAATGCTCAATAGTGGTTGTGGAGAGCCGGAGAGGCGCCCCCCCCAGAGCACTGAGTCCAGCGCCGGGAGACCCAAAGCCCCAGGCGCCCAAAGGGACCCCAATAGCGAAGGCACCAAGGAGGGGCCAGCCCCGGAAATCGGACCCCCACCAAGGGACGAGGAGAGACAGCCCCCAAGAAGCCCCCCAGCCACCGCCATGCCGGCGCCCCTGGGAGCCGCGGAGGCGAGTCCGCGGGCTCCGCCGGCAGCCAGTCACCCTGAAGTAGGGCCGGACAAAGAACACCGGCCCCCCCACGGCACAGACCGAAACGCCCCGGCCCCCGGCACCAAGCCCCGGCGACCGGCCGCAACACCCAACGCGACCGCACCACCCAGGAAAAACACACAGGCGGCCGCGCCCACCGCCGGGGCCCACGCGCATCCGCCGCGAACCGGCCGCGAGCGCCGCGGAACCCCCCCAAAACGCCCCCCAGGCCAAAAGCGCGGCCCCGTCCCACCAAGACAGACGCCAACAGCACGCAACACAGCGCGCACAGAACTGACGAAGAGCAGAAAAGCCCCCCGGCGCCCGACCGCCAGAAGAGCAGACCGCAGCCGGCGCAACCACCCCCCCCAGCAGCCCACGGGCAGCACAGAGCGGAGCGAACCACGCCGCTCCCCCACTGGACCAAGCCAGAGCAGCACAGCTGCACCCGCCGCCCCCCCTCGCCGCCTGCAGAAGCCCCCAACACGCCGCTGAAGCACCTCCGCCGCCCCAGCCCCCCGACGCGCGCCGGCCGGAGCCAGTCCACCCCCCACCCACCCCGCAGCCACAACCGCCGTGATCAGCGGGACCAAAGCAGCTCCAACATGCCTCCAAGCGGGAAAACCCACCCGAAGACCCAATCAGCGCAGCCAGCCCAACCACACCAGCCCCACAACACCAACCCCGCCGGAGCCACCCAGACCGCCACACACCAGCGGCGCGCTGCCAGCAGGACCCCCACCCAACGGGGCTGCCCCCCGAGAGAACAGACATGCCAATCCCCCCCCAGAAAAAGAACGCCAAGCAGAATAGCCCCCCCAATGCGACAGTAGACACCAGACACTGACCTGCCCGCAACCGCTCCCCCCACCGGGAGAAAATAAATAAATAAATAAATAAAAATAAATAAATACATTTAAAAAAATAAATAAATAAATGTTTCTAAATAGATAAATAATAATACATATATATATATATATGTATATATATACACTATATTGCCAAAAGTATTTGCTCACCTGCCTTGACTCACATATGAGCTTAAGTGACATCCCGTTCCTAATCCATAGGGTTCAATATGACGTCGGTCCACCCTTTGCAGCTAGAACAGCTTCAACTCTTCTGGGAAGGCTGTCCACAAGGTTTAGGAGTGTGTTTATGGGAATTTTTGACCATTCTTCCAGAAGCGCATTTGTGAGGTCGCACACTGATGTTGGACGAGAAGGCCTGGCTCTCAGTCTCCGCTCTAATTCATCCCAAAGGTGTTCTATCGGGTTGAGGTCAGGACTCTGTGCAGGCCAGTCAAGTTCATCCACACCAGACTCTGTCATCCATGTCTTTATGGACCTTGCTTTGTTCACTGGTGCACAGTCATGTTGGAAGAGGAAGGGGCCAGCTCCAAACTGTTCCCACAAAGTTGGGAGCATGGAATTGTCCAAAATGTCTTGGTATGCTGAAGCATTCAGAGTTCCTTTCACTGGAACTAAGGGGCCAAGCCCAGCTCCTGAAAAACAACCCCACACCATAATCCCCCCTCCACCAAACTTTACACTTGGCACAATGCAGTCAGACAAGTACCGTTCTCCTGGCAACCGCCAAACCCAGACCCGTCCATCAGATTGCCAGATGGAGAAGCGCGATTCGTCACTCCAGAGAACGCGTCTCCACTGCTCTAGAGTCCAGTGGCGGCGTGCTTTACACCACCGCATCCGACGCTTTGCATTGCACTTGGTGATGTATGGCTTGGATGCAGCTGCTCGCCCATGGAAACCCATTCCATGAAGCTCTCTGCGCACTGTTCTTGAGCTACATGAAGTTTGGAGGTCTGTAGTGATTGACTCTGCAGAAAGTTGGCGACCTCTTCGCACTATGCGCGTCAGCATCCGCTGACCCCGCTCCGTCAGTTTACGTGGCCTACCACTTCGTGGCTGAGTTGCATTCGTTCCCAAACACTTCCATTTTCTTATAATACAGCTGACAGTTGACTGTGGAATATTTAGGAGCGAGGAAATTTCACGACTGGATTTGTTGCACAGGTGGCATCCTATCACAGTTCCACGCTGGAATTCACTGAGCTCCTGAGAGCGACCCATTCTTTCACAAATGTTTGTAAAAACAGTCTGCATGCCTAGGTGCTTGAATTTATACACCTGTGGCCATGGAAGTGATTGGAACACCTGATTCCAATAATTTGGATGGGTGAGCAAATACTTTTGGCAATATAGTGTATATATATATATATATATATATATATATATATACATATATATACACATACATATTTATATATATATATATATATATATATATATAAATATATATATATATATATATATATATATATATATATATATATATATATATATATATACATATATATACATATATATACACATACATATTTATATATATATATACATATATATACACATACATATATATATATACATACATACATACACATAAATAAAAATAAATAAAAATAAAAAAAAAATAAAAAATTCCCCTAAGCAAGAGGAGAAATGCAAGCGGAAAAATCAGAGCCCAAAACAAAACCCAAGACCCGCACCTCACCATGCCACGCAGCTCCCCTCCCCCCCAAACCGGTACGACAAGACCAGCATTGGAAAAAGCACCGCCCAGGAACCGGCATCGAAGCTAAGGCACCGGCACCGACAATCCAGAACAACACCCGGCCCCACCCCGAAGCGAATCCAATCCTGGGCCCCAGGGATCCGAGGTCCCAGGGGCGCCCAACCCCCAGACAGGAGCCCCAGCAAGGCTCTGGCCGGCCAGGGCGGCGGAGAGGCCGCCAGGAATGAGCCGGCAGCCACCCGGGCATCCACCCCCAGACCTCGAGCCCCACCAGTGCACCTGCGAGCCCCGACACCAGCCAGCTGAGGGAGAGCAGGACTGGGGGAATGGGCTCCGCAGTTAGCGGAGACTTGAGATGTATTTGGGAGGGGGTGCAGTTGGGACCCCGACCTGGGAGAGGGAGAAAAAAAATTAATAAAAAAATAAAAAATCACACTCACAATCTCAATTATGCCATCCAGTGGCGGCCGGCCCATAGGGGGCGCTGGGGCACCGCCCTCCCTGATAAGAAGAGAGAAACGTAAAATATATTTTTAGAAATTAACTCATAAATGTCAGTTTTACTCTCTAGACTGTGTACCTATAAGCAAAACAAATTATATAAACTACATTTCCCTATCTACTGTCATTCATTTGTGGATTTCCACATACAGACTCCTACCGTCTCTGTTCTGGGGGCGCTGATCAGACAGACCCACATTTATAAACTGAATTGAATTTGCAGAGAATCTGTCAATCATGTACTATTGCTAGGTGAATTTAAGGGCCAATCAGCGTCTCAGAACTTTATGGTCTTGGGGCGCTGAAAATACTGCCCTTTAACAGGCTTCTGCACCGAAGCGCAGGTGCAGACAATTAGAGGGACGATGGCGAACGTAACGAGCGAGATGCAGCTTCCACCAAATTCGGTGAGATCCTTATTTATCTACCAGTTTGCCAGAAGAACATCCCTGTTGTAGGGTAGGAAAATTTCATGTCATGGTTATTGTGACTGTGATGAATCCACCTCGTCACTTAAAACATCCTCTAACTTTGCGCGCCACACACACATTCCTGTTATACTGTGTTTGTGAGGACCAATACACTCGCGCTGAGCCCAGTAGCTCCATGAACTTAAAACACACAAGCTGTTCCTGGTTACCTGCTGGCGTATTGAGGGTGCACACTTAATATTTCAGTGAGGTTAGCCGTGTGTGTGTGTGTGTGTGTGTGTGTGTGTGTGTGTGTGTGTGTGTGTGTGTGTGTGTGTGTGTGTGTGTGTGTGTGTGGGTGTGTGGGGGGTGTGGGTGTGTACGTGTCTATGCTACGGGGACTTGTCATCTTCAGTCTGGCTGCGTCTTTGCTGGGTTCAAACCCAGTTTGGTGTAATTGAATAAGTCAATGAATCTGTGTAAAATAATTAAGTTGTAAAAATTATTTGTTTGTTTTTGTACATCAATTGTTTGTGGAGGTAATATATGGACAAAACTGATTTATGAGAAGAAATCAGAAATAAGAGAGCCTGAGGGGAGGGGCTTAAACTATTTAATGAGGGCTGTGGGAAGAAGAGCGGCCATTTCTGTTTTCTGTTTCTTTGTTCCATTGCTGGTAACTGGAGGGAGGCTGAGGCCCAGAGGATCTTGTACATTTTTAGTTTCTTTTGCTCCCTGTTTTGAGTTTTTGAGCACAATAAATCACCAACACCAGTAACCCGACTGAGACTGGATTCTTGGAGGCCAAAGAACCCCGTCACAGTGACCCAAATCATCACTGTTACTGTTATTATATAGTAAATTAAATCATTACTGTTAAATTGTATGTATTGTCCAATTGTTTATTTGAATTCTTATTCTGGATTAGTTGGAGACATACACTAGGCTATATCAGCCCCACCAAAAATATTTTTCACCAGCCGCCACTGATGCCATCCCTCCCTAGTGCCCCCACTCGCACCACAGGAAAAAAAATAAATAAATAAATAAATAAAATAAAAAAAAATGAATAAATAAATAAAATAAAGTAAATAACTAAATAAATAATAAAAATAAATAAAAAAATAAAATAAAAACGCGGACACACATTCACACATAACACTCGCATCCAATAATACCAGGACCAAAGACCCGGCGGCACCGGTGGTTGGTCCCGGGACTATCGGATGACCCCATAACTGAACCTAAAATCCGGATGGGGCGGAGGGGAGCAGCGACACCGCCACAACCACCCATCTCATTCCTGCTTCGAGCCCGGCCACCCACCCCGCACAAGGACCGGACCACCACCAGCAAGAGCCCCCCCCCGGGACCGGGGCCCACCCATCCCGCGCAGGCCACCCAACCAGAACCCCCCCCCCCCCAAAAAAAAAAAACCTACTTCAACCAGGCACTTCATGCCCCTCCTTCCAACCTTCTTTGGGGAGAGCAGAAGCGACAGCCCCGCCACAGGCAGGCCACCTAGGCCCTGCAGCCAGCCCCAGCCAAAACCCCGATCCTCCCTGCGCCCGCTCAGATGTGGTGTTGCTCTCAGATGTAATTAAAACTGGGAGTACCAAGAGGGGGTGTCCGGCACAGTCCACCCCCCCTCCGGGGGATATGCGGTGCCAGCGCACCCCCCCCTTATTTTATGGGGCCCAAAAAATAAGCCCCCCCCCCAGGTGGCCTTGACCCCCACCCCCCAGAAAATACCCTACATTGATGTATGTTGTGAAAATGATGTAGAAAATCATCAATTAAATTAAATTTATATAGCACTAATTCACATCATGTCATCTCAGGTCACTTTCCAGTTCACCAGATCAAACAGTCAAATTGATTCAAAGTTTCCTATCTACGGAAAACCAGCTGATTGCATCGACTCATTGACTCTTCAGCAATCCCTCACACTAAGCATGCTTGTAGCGACAGTGGAGAGGAAAAACTCCCTTTGAACAGGAAGAAACCTCCAGCAGAACCAGGCTCAGTGTGAGCGGCCATCTGCTGAGGCCCACTGGGGTTCAAGGAGACAGAAGCAGACATAGAAAAAGCAGCTGTAAAAGGCGGCCCTGACATCAAAAGACATATTGTTTGTTCTGTCCCTAACCATGCCAGATCTGCAAACCTTCTTGTCCATGTCCATTGGAGGGCTTGAGTTTCATCCAGCAACAGTACAGCAGTCAGGCCAACAACAACCAGGCGTTTCTCTGTCTCAATGGCTCACAGCAGGGATCGTCTTTGTCTCAGTAACTTATCAAGGCAGGCTTTCTCATCCAGTCTTGCTCTAT